ATCAAATTAGTGATAAATCTGCTAAAAAAGCCGATTCGATTTCGACTCGAGAATTACCTCGGCTGTAATAGAAAGACGACTGCCTAGAAATGTCTGGCCATTCTGTTCTTGTGTTGCTTTCAGCTGAATATAAAAGGAGCATTACAAGCTGAGCACCATACATACATAAATACATATATATTCCACAAAGTATACTAACCCTTCCATTTTTCGTTTGAACTCGAAATCCCTTCTCTGTTACAGTATCTTTGATCCTTGCAAGCAAATTCTTAGCCGAATGATTGGATGTGTAAATCTGATCTTCCTTTCAGATGCATCCTGCATGCACATATAACTTGTAAATCAGCTCATATTCGTTTGTAGTGATGGATCTAGAAATTTAAAAATGAAGTCAAAAATTTTAATATATATTTTTTTGAAAACATTGGATATGCAAATTTCATTATTTTTTCTCCTCCCCTTAACACATTAGACTGCTTTTTATAGTTTTTTTCAAAATAATGGGATGCACTTAGCCCTAGGAGGCTTAGTGCATCTGTGGATCTGCCCCTAATACATGTATATATGTATGTAGGCATGTATGGATGGATGGTCTAAGCTCCTTCTAAAAGAAACCAAATAACTTGTCAATCAGCTTATGTATGTATGCATGTATGGATGGATGGTCTCACCTCCTGCTCAAAGAAACCAGATAGGTCTAGGGATGAAGACATTCCTGTCAACTGAAAAGCATTAATACGAGAGGGTGCTTCGGGACTCCTACTTCCATCAGATCCCTTCATCAAATGATATGTTTTTTGCATCAGTTTTACGTTAAAAGTTCTGCAAATTATGGAATCAAAAGATGAAAAATTTTGTGGAGTTCATGTTTCATACCATTTCAGACATCGAGAAGGCTTCTTCATCGATGTATATATCTTCTTCCTCATCGTACTGTACTGCAGGTATATAATCTTGCTTGAACCATTCATCATCTTTAATATCCGCCATTTTTATTCTGGTTTTAGGGTTCGGATCAAGCATCCTTCTTATCAGGTCCCATGCACCAGGTGATAACCCTTTTGGCATCTTCATAACCGTTTTCGAAACCTGAGAAATCCCACAACAAAATTACGTACATACATACATATATACATACATACAGACATACATAGTGACATACATACCTTGTGAAAGAGGACAGCAAGGTTTGTATCATCGAAACGAAAATACCCAGCGAGGATGGAGAACAAGATGACGCCACATGACCATATCTCCGAGGCGGCACCATGAATAATAGTGATACCTCATGTAAGCGAACAACGTTGGGATGTTTGAGTAGCTTCAGATGGCTATTTCTCTCTTTATCTGCGAATAATTAGATGGTTATATGTCAGGTGCAGAAGCAACATATATCTATATCCATCTCTCTACATACATACGTACGTATATATGCATGCAGTCGCGGATGTACGTTTATGCTTGTGGGTATGTATATGTCTTATTTAATTAAAATTCGAATTTTATTTAATTAATTACTTATTTTATTAATTGTGATCTTTAAATATTATTTGTGTCAACTTCATACAAAAATATTATATGATTAATATATACATGTCCATTTCAAAAAATATTTTTAGACTCGTCAATGTATACATGTATACATGTATAAATGTATGCTTAAATGTATGCTTGATTGGCGATGTTGAGCCGGATGAGTTTGGACTTATCGAGAATCTTAACGGCGAAAGGGTGGCTGGAATGAAGGTTGCTTCCCAGTTTAACTTCGCCGAAACTTCCCTCTCCGAGCATCTTCCCCAGCTCGTAATTCCCCATTTTCAGAATTCCCATTTGCCGTATCGACTCTTGTAAACGAAGAAAACAATAGTAATCGATTCGAAAACTACCAAATACAATAGTAATATATACAAAAGATAATATACAGTGTTGTAGGAAAGACAGGATCACCAAATCAGTTGGTTTAGCGATTTCCAACCTCTTCTTGTTCTTGTCCTTGTCCCTTGTCTGGTCTATAAAAAAATATTCATAAATACAAATATGGAGAATATACAGGAAGAAGACGATGAAGAAAGGAAGTCAGCAGACTAAAGGATAATAGAATCGTTACCGGGAATGAAGGCTTAAATAGGATTGCATACAGTAAATACCAAAATTTGCATGGTAAAAATATGTGGTAAACTAAGATCACTTAATTATGGGGTTAATTTTATTTTTGATCAATGAAAAAATCAATTAGATTATTAAATTTTACGAAATTATTGATGCGACAGATAGAATTTTAGGGTAATATGCATACTTAATCGTTAAATTAAATTCAATATTTGGTTTATGATTGAAAAATATAAATTCAAACCAACGATCCAAGTGCAGAAAGAACACTTAACCACTAACCAAGTTAAACATCTATTTGTACGACATTAAGATGGTTTATTCTTTTTCTTCCATATAGGTTATAGGTTTAGGGATTAGGGATATTTTCTTAATGAGGCTCATGTTTTTATCCAATTTTCTAAATATTATTATAAATATCGAGGCAGTTCAAATTTAAAAATCAAATTTATTAAAAGCTTCAAGTTATAAATAATCGAACTTATTAAAGTAGGTGAGGTTAATTTGATCGATTTAGAACAATTTAGAAGTTTGGTGCTGAGTTCTTAGTATCAAAATAATAAATTTAGAATATTTTCTTAATGTTTCTCCTCTATGCTATTATCTCGGTCTTGATTTTGAGTAATACTAATTTTTTTAAAGTGAAATATTATTAAGAGAAAGGTGCGAAATTAAAACGCAAGCTAACAGGTTTAGTTTATACATCAGCTCCTTCAACTTCATTGCATTGCCATAGCTGCAGCCACCTCACAGCTCCTCATCACGCTCACGCCCACCACCGTTAACATAATTATCTTTCATTTCTTGCGATTTTTGCTTTTCCGATTTGTAACTCGAAGCTATCGACTCCTTTGCCGCCTCCATGGTCTCTCCGGCTTTGTTTTTGGCCGCATCATAACCTTCTTTAGCTTTCTCCTTTGCCCAGGACAGACTCTCCGTCTGAGCCTTCCTCTTCTCTGCCTCATCCGCCGCCTTCTCCTTCGCTTCTTCCCCCCGTCGAGCTGCCCTTTCTTTGGCTTCGTTCGTCATCTCGCTGGTTGTGTCGGCTATGTCCTTCGCTTTCTCCTTTGCAGTGTTTATTCCCTCTTTAGCTTTGCTAGTAGCTGCGTTCGCATTTTCTTTGCTGCATTTGGTAAGTCACTGGCCTTTTCCTTTGAGGCACTCACGGTGTCCTCCGTCGTCTTGTAGGCTGAATCTTTCATGTCCTTGGCCTTCCCTGCACTGTATTCACCGGCTCCTGCCCAATGACGAACAAATCAGTAGACGCAAACAAACATAGTATTAAAGTACGGCCATAACGGATCATACCATTTTCTTAAGGTCAACATGATACTACCGCAACACCACACACAACCGTGACACCGCAACGGCAACTTAACACTAAGTAAACAAGTGAAATATAATGTAATGCAAGTTAAACTAAAGTCATATGACCGCAACGCTATATAACAATCATATCGTAATACATGTTAAAGTTAGAACAACATCTATATAGTAACGTCTGCAACATCTATAATACGGACACCGACACCAACCGGGAGAGCAATTTATAGTACTATGACTGAGTCACTGAAGTGTTTTAATCAACCTGAGGTTATGTCATTGAACTTGTCCTTGGCCTTTGTAGCAGTGTCTGCAGCTGAATCAGAGGTTCTCTTAATAGAATCCATAGCATCGTCTTGTTTGAACCCGAGACCTTCGGATATCTTGTCTTTAGCCCATCCTGTCCACGACTCGGTCGACTCCTTGGCTTCTTTTCGAACATCCGACGCCGTATCGGTGGCCTTTTGTGTCCTGCTCTTCAGCTCATCTTTGGCTTGTTGTGTTTGCCTGTTGATCTCATCTGTGGCTTCTTCTGTATTGGCCTTCAGCCTCGAGTAGTCTTTAGCATCGTCGTCCGTCGACGGCGTGTGCCCGACGCTCGTGCACCTCACGACACTGGTGGCGATTAGGACTGTGGACAGAATGAAAAACCAAACCGGAACTCCCTTGGAAAACATGATGTGAAAGTAAAGCAATAGATTGTATTTTTTTCTATAGGAAAACTTGTTTCAGAGATGGATGAAGAAGATGATGAAGGAATTAGAGCATGGGGGTGTTGAATTTAAAGGGGGTGACAGGGTGGTTGTCATGCAAAGTGCCGAACTGGGAGACGTGTGAGGCTGCAGGTGTCGACATTCGGCATTCCACGTGTCAGTTCCCAAGCTGTTTAGAGTGAAAAGCGATACGTGTCTGTCTCCAAGGTGTTTACAGTAAGGTTTTATAACCCCATGGTCGCAAAACTCCAGAAGGCATTATCTTTGTGAAGAAGGATCCGGCTCCGGTAACATGGTGGAAGGTTCCAGTTCTAATTTGGAACCCCATTGACCTGGGTAAATTCTAATTTAGTATTTTTTATTTTTAAATTATAATTTGTTAGATAATATAATTAATTATAGGAATTTAAAATTATTAAATTAAAAAAATTATTAATTGATCAAGTGGTTAAGAATATTCATGATATTTTACCTTATGTAGATTCTGACATTTATTTTAAAAATATAATATATCTTAACTTTAAAAGAAAATTATTAAATTTAAAAGCACAATATAGGAATTAAAATCTGAATTTGAGTTAACAAATATAATAGATGTTTGATCAAGAATCAAAATATTAAGTTTTTTTAAATATATATATATATATATATTTTACCTATTGACTATTTTAGTGAAGTTGCAGTTATTAACTATTGAAGTGATAGGTACGATTCTAACGATTTTAGTGATTAAAATGATGATTATTATTTTCAAAGGTATTGGATTCAAATATGAAACGTTTATTATTAAATAATTAAGAATATTTCGAATAAATACGATCTTATAATAAGATTTATGTGTTGAAAAGTATTTGGCAGGTGCTCACAAATGCCTGGTTATATTTGGATTCCATGGATTAACTTGTACAAAAACTACACACAATAAATTACTACTTTTACACCTAAGAAGATTGCTTGCATTTCCTTTTGTTGTGCCCAAGCTTTTTGCACTTGCTGCACTGAAGTGATCTCTTAACAGCTTGCTCGGATATAAGTGCGTATTTTCTTTCCTTTGGCCGCCCCACCGGACGGGCTATGCAAGGGGGATGTACAAGCACTTCCGACGATTCCCGTTGTGTACACCCGTCTAAGGATGGAACCGGGTTTATGGATTCGGAATATGTAATTTTAAAAGCCTCGGTCGTAAAGTATCTGTAGCAATAATCATACACATCCTTGCCTACATGCTCGATCGCTGCCGCGGCATGTAAACACGGTAGGCCGTTTATCTGCCATTCCCTGCAACTACACTCCCAATTTTCGAGGCTGACGACGTTCATTATGTCCAAAGTATCACGAACCTTGAAACAACTGCCGGGTGAAAGTACTACTTCAAGAGAACGTGAATCGACAAGGCTTCGTCGGAGGTTTTCCTCTGAAGAGGGGGCAAGCTTTGTTGACCACTGATCTGAATCCATCTTCCGTGTATAGATGAACTCCATCATTTTACGGCGTATCGTTTCGATCACTTGTGTGATTGGCATTGCAGGTAAATCAGAAACCCAATCACAAAATGATTCTGTAACACTAGATTTAAGATGATTGTACCTAGCCCCCTTAAAAAATGCATTTGCCCAGTGCTCAGGTTCAGTTTGCAGGACCCACTCGTAAGCCTCGGGTGATATATTTTTTATCGTCTCAATGCACTTCTTGAACTCTTCGGCAGTTGGTGCGTGGGCGGCTTTATGGAATTCAGAAATTAGCACACGAACAACCTCTAGAGTTAATGATCCCTTAAATTTCTTTTTCAGGCTTTCTGTTAGCCGATGCAGGCAATAACCATAGAAACAATTCGGAAACACAGACCCGAGGGATTCACTCATCGCCTTTTTCATATCTGTGACGAATGTTATCTCATGAGAAATAGAGAGCACAGTCTTCAGCTGCTGCAGAAACCAATGCCAATTATCATCACTCAATACATCTACTATGGCAAAAGCTACTAGAAAAATACCATCATTTCCATCCAAAGCAGTGGCAGTAAACAGTTCTCCCCCATATTTCGACTTCAAAGATGTGTAGCCAAGAAAAAGTAGAGGGCGGCAACCATTCCAGAATCCATAGAGTGATGCATGGAAAGCGACGAATATTCGTTGAAAACTCGAGTCTTCTTTGGTGTTGAGAATGGCAGCACTGCCAGGATTTGTTTCCAATATTTTCCCACACAGCAAAGGCAACTGATTATAAGCCTTTCTATGTGAACCTTGAACTTCCTCTAGTGCAGCAGCTATCCCCCTGTAGGCCTGTGCATAATTTAGCTCGATCCCCAAATCCAGTCGAATATCGTCGATGATTTCTTGTGGCTTATAAGTCAGGGTATCTCGTAACTTTTCCTTTACAATACTCGCAACCAATTTCTTCGAGGCACTTGTTCGTATCGATCCCACACCACAGGTATGGGTGTCATTCATCTTTTTAATCCTGAACAAATTGGTGTTAGTCAATTTTGGCGCAACAATGAACCAAGGACACCCTTCAGCTTTACACCTCGCCCGAAAACGCCTTCCACCGCTGTTTTTAAGACTGTAATGGAAACCGTGTGCTAAAGAAAACTTGTCCAAAGCATCGTGAAGTTCACGCCGAGTATTAAAACTCTGACCTACTCCTGTAATGCAACTCTTCCACGATGAAATCCGAGGTGTTTCTGCTTCTTGGTGTCTTCTGCGTCAGGAAGCAAATCCATAGGAGCATCGGGAGGATATATAGGTTCATCGGTGGCAAAATCAGTTGGAGCATCAACAGGAGAAACAGATACATTGGGCGTTGTATGACTGAACCTGCATAGGTAAGTATCAGACTATTTAAGCAAACAAAACGTAAAAAAAATCAATCCCCAAAACTGCAACCATCATCTTAATCCCCAAATAAACCCCAAATAGGTATGTAAACGAGTGAGTCGAGCTCGACTTGATTCGAAAAGTTCAAAGCTGAGTTCAACTCGACTCGAAACATTCTTAGACTTAGCTCGATTGAAGCTCGAACTCGAGCTTTTCAAGTCAAATATCAAGTAGCTCACTACTACGGCTCGTTAAGAACTCGAGTCGAGTTCGAGTCCATTTAAATCGAATTTTGACTGAGTCACTGAATCAAACTGAGTAACTTGAACTTCTCATTTACAGCTATACCCCAAACCGCTAACTAATCATGCTCTTATGTTCTACAGTACAATCCTAAGTATACTTAAATTCACACCCTTCTCCTCCACTAAATCTTCCATTCATATTCCCCGTATATTTTGTAATAAACTTGATAACAAAACAACTGAAGCTAAAATGATCTGATCTGATCATAAATCTTTATTTTCTTAACAATTCATGACAACAAAGAAATCGCAAGCACATGCCAAAAGAAAAGGGGGGAAAGGGTATGAAAAGGAGAGGTTCTTGACCTGCTACAAGGCATGGAGGTGGCATCGCTAGGAGCAGGAGGCGAGGGAGTGAGGACATAAACATCAGCAGAAGCAGAATCTTCATGGAACTCAAGGAAGCGCTGAATGTCTCTGTTAGTGGAAATGGTTATAAGGGTGCGCTTATGTTGGGGAGTAAGTACTTAATGGTGAGAGAGTCATGGTCATACTTCCACATATCAGCAATCTCAGACTTGAAATCACCAAATTTAGTATCGACGGTGAGACTGGTGGCGTGGGCATCGCCGCCAGAGTAGGATAGTGTTCCGTCAGCGTTGATGGTGAACTTTCCGCCGGATTGACATACAACGATCAGCTTTCCGATTCCCATTGCAATAATAATAAAACTCACACATAAAAACCAGTCTCTAATCAATCAATGTATCCTCTAAACGACAATAACGCAAGAAGGGGAATTGAAATTGAAAGGATGAGGAAGAAGGGAGATGTAGAACCTGCTGATTAATTAGGGCAAAATTTGGACTGCATCAAATTGGAAGAGAATTACATCAGGAACAGGTTACAGGAAGGATTGGTTCATGAATTAGGGGTTTTATAATTTTTTTTTATGTAACATTCGTTCATAAATGGTAAAATCACTTTATCAGTCCTCATATCATAACAAAGAGTGAAATTTAGTCCTATACATTTATTTTAAAAAACCATTTGTTATTTAGAAATACAAACAAACTAATTATTAATTTTATGAGATATATTTAATTGTATCAATTTAAAATATAATTTTAGTTTTAATTAAATTGACATTATTGAAGGGAAAAATTAAAAGTTCTCTTTCATAAATTTTCCATTAAAAGGTTAAAATTTTATCACATTGATATCAAATTATTATTATTTTATTTATTTTAAGGGTTAATTACACCATGATCACTTAATTATGAATAATTATAATTTGACCATTAATTTTTTAAATTTATCGACCAAACTACTTAATTATTTAAATATATAAATCAAGTCATTTATTGTTATTATTTTATTGAATAATTAATAAAATTAATATAATTACATATTTAATTTTCATTACTTACGTATTAAAATCCTATGTCAAATGATATAATATATAAATAATGAAGAGTAAATATGTAATTATATTAATTTTATTAATTACTACATTAGCTCTTATGTAAAATACTAATGATATATAATTTTATTGATATCATGTAAATGATTAAGTGGTCTGACTATTAAAATTGAAAAATCAATGGTCACACAGATAATGACATAGTTTACCCTTGTTTTAAGATTATAAGAATCAAAATAAACTTGGTGCTATGGTAAAGGGACCTGTATAATACTTTTCCCACCATAAATCTCAAAAGACAAACGAATTGACTAAAACGGCGGCGTAGGCTGATGTGATCCGAATTCTATTTATCAAGATGAAAGAAGAGTTGGACAGAGGGGAGACATGGGGAGTGTTTCAGCAGCGTTAGCCCCTTCTTCTTCTGTATATACAAATGGGCACTTTTCTTCTTCAAACAATTCTACTTCTCTATCTGTATGTAACTCTATTCTCTCATGTTTTTTTTCTTTTAACTTTTACATAAATGATATAAACCCATTTCTTTTTTGTAATTTGTAGGTGGAAGATGGTGCTAACCAGTTGGCAATGGTGAAACCCAGTAGCAGCGCTGTTAGTCTCCCCAACTACAAATGGAGGTTGCTTATAGCTTATGACGGCACCCGCTATGCTGGTTTGCTTTCCCCTCTTTTTTATTCCTTCTTTTTCTTATCTATCCATCTATGCAGAGAGGTGCGATAGATTTTATGTTAAGGATGAATTTATAAAATTTTAGGAGTACATACCTATAAAACTTTAGTGTGCAAAAACAAATTATCAATAGAAATGCAAATAAAAAATCTAATAAGAATTTAAAAATGGGGATAGACCCTCCTCTCCGGTTCCCTCTCGGTCCATCTATGAATGTATGCACGTATCTATCTATATATGTTTGTCGGACGGAGCAAGATTTTATGCTGGGGGGATGAGCGTGGGATGAGCGTATAAAACCTTAAGGTCGAAAATAGATTATCAGTAGAAAAAACAAAGAAAATATCTAAAATATATTATAATTTGAAATTTTCAAGGCGACTGACCGACGGCTCCTCGGTCCATCCCTATATGTATGTATGCATGTATTTAACCACCCAAGGATGGACCGAGGAGTGTCAGAATTATCTCATAATTTAAGTATTTTCTTTGTATCTGCTATCAATTATTTAATTTTTGTATACTTTGAAAATTTTTAATTTCGCACCTCTAAATTTCTAATATAGTTTTCTATGTTAGTACTTCCTGCCATAAAATTCTGCATCCGTCCTATTAGGCTAGCACCACCCATTTTAGCTTCTCATTTGTCTCACCAGATTCTGCTCAGATACATGTATAATACTAATTGCTTTTTATGTTTATAACAATAATGATTAATGGCAAAGTAATAGTCCTAATCCTTACTCCAGAATGTTTTCCTTTTTAAGTTGAGATAAGCTTTGTTGGAAGTTCATATGGAAGTATTAGTATTAGCATCATCCTTGTGCTCATTACGGTTATTATTGTAATGTGGGTGGGTTTACTCCATAAATGCAGGATATTTCTCAATCCTCATTCTTGGCATTTTCTGCCTATTATCATGTTCCATGAACCAACTTGTTTTAATTTGAAGAGCAAGAGCCAATTTGTTTCAAATCTGGATGATTAGTATTAGTCTGGCTATATAAATTTTGGATTAGGCAGGAGCTTGTTGCAAATGCAAAATAGTCAAAATTCTAGCTGGAATTTGAAGAAGATGATGAAACTGAAAAGTTTGGCTTTTGAGCTATTACAGCAGTAGGGGACTTCCTAGGCAGGGTTATACCTCCTTTATTTGGAATTGGGTTAGCCATTAACAACCTAGGGTGGATCCGCATTGGTTGGTTTGGTACAAACTTTCCATTCCCAGGCACTTGGTTATCTCTTGGATGACTTTACTGGATGTATTACCAACTAAAAAAAATGATTTAATGTGGCTATGACATTTATAAGAATTACTTGCTGTGTAGTGAAGAAGATGAGACTAGGGACCATTTGTTTTCTTTTCGGTTGTCAACACTAAATTTGGGGGAAATTTATTTCAGCTTGTAATTTCAATAGAGCAGTGAGTTCATGGCAAACGGAGCTAGCTTGGGCTGTTCAGCTTAGGGAGGATCGGCTGGTTTCTGTGATTTTACGACTGGCCTGGAACACACTTTTATTTTATTTGGTAGGAACTAAATAGAAGTATGGAAGACAAAGTAGACAGGATCAGACATTGACTAGCCTAATTGTAAATATTATAGGAGATGGATTGGAATTCTATGAATTGGCGTGTGCGTGCGCACACACACACACATATATATATATATATAGATGATAGTTTGATGAACAAATGTATGCAGTAGCTATGCATTAAACCTTGAGTAAGTCCACACAAACACAACTGTAAAGTTGTAGCAGTTTTCTTTACTGCTTTCTTTGGATAAATAAATTCTACTTGTTCAAAAATTAAGAAAAGAAATCCTAAAGTCCTAAACATTTCCATCTGATGCTATGCATGACTCTTGGTTTCTACAGCCGTTGGAAAATTCAGTTTTAAAATGTTATGTTTTCAAGGATGTTAATGAATGGGATCCTTCTTTATTAAATCCAATGGCCTTAAACCATGCTTAACACCTTGATTGATGGCAAGATTTCAGTTTCTTGGATCTGGAATATTGAACACCACTATCTATTTCAGGTTGGCAGTTTCAAGTTTCACCACCAACTATACAGTGCATTGTAGAAAAGGCTTTAGTTCAAATAACAAAACTCGAACGGGATCATCTTCATTTTGTCGGTGCAAGTCGGACAGATACCGGAGTTCATGCTTGGGGCCAGGTCTGACTTTCATACTTGTATGAGGATTTGACAAGCATGTATCTATAACTTCCAAACTTACAGTCAATAAGGTTTTCAGGTGGCACACTTCATTACACCTTTCAATTATGACAGCTTGGAGACTATTCATGCTGCTCTAAACGGGCTTCTTCCTTCTGACATCAGAGTTAGAGAGATCGCTGCCGCAACTCCTGAATTTCATGCTCGGTTTTCAGCAAAAAGCAAGATTTACCACTACAAGATTTATAATGACAGCATCATGGATCCATTTCAGCGCTATCATGTTTATCATAGTGCTTATAAACTCAATACCGCAGCCATGAGAGAAGCAGCAAAATTGTTTATTGGAAAACATGATTTCTCTGCTTTTGTTAATGTTTCACGTAACGATCGAGTGCCAGATCCTCTGAAGAGAATATTCCGTTTCGAAGTTATTGAAATGGTGATTGTTGGTTCTGAGCATACTTTATGTTTCTTGAAAACTTGTTCTTTCTTGAACTTTAGCTTCTAGCTACCATGGATTCACTACTTCATTCAAACCAGTTTGTTTCGATATTAACTATGAGGCTTTGAAACTGACCATTCTACTGGTTTGTTATACAGGGACCTCTCATACAGCTTGAGGTTGAAGGTTCTGGATTTTTGTATCGACAAGTTCGAAACATGGTGAGTTGCTACAAAATAAAAAATGCCACTTATTTTTTCGAGTTGTTTTCATATTGGTGTTAACTAGGACTAACTTGCATTGCAACTTTTTAAGCTCACGGAGAAGAAAATGCTCTGTATCTGTCTATGACCTGTAAATATTGTAGGTTGCTTTGTTGGTTCAAATTGGAAAGGAAGCAATTCCTGCAGATATTGTTCCAAAGATTTTGGCAACTCGAGATCGCAGAGAGCTGGCTAAATATGCCTTGTCTGCCCCACCGCACGGGCTTTGTCTGGTGTCTGTCAAATATAACGAAGAGCACCTGCGGCTTCCTTCGGAGTGTCCTGCAACTAGCTTTGGTAGGTATCATACTATCAGCAAATGTAAGATCCCCTATTACTAATTTTAACTCACAAACCCTAAATTTTGAACATATCTGAATTATTCAGCAAAGAAATTGATTGAGATTTTCTTAGTTTGTTTATGGTCTATGTGGTGAAAACTTAAAAGTTCCTTCCACTGAATCCTAGTATAACTTGCCAATAGCTCAAAATATCAGCAGATTTTGATGTTAAGACGGGGTTCAGGATAAACAGCAAGAGTTACAAACAATCTTATACTAGAATCTGATGACAACAGAGTTCCGGGATCATACAAGAATGATAGGTCGAACCAACTTCACACATTTGCTAACCAATCAACTAACAATAACAACCAAGGACAGGACACTATTCCAGCTAAAAAGAATGTAATGCTCCAAAAATGATAGACACCCATTTGTGACCGTAGTCTGCATCAAAGTTACAGATGCTGCATGAAATAAGCCTATCCACAACGCATCAGTCTTGTGAAAGGTCAAGGTAAGAAAATGATCCGATCCGATGATAAATTTCTCTTGGATGCTAGCTTCAATTGTCTCTTCATTTCAAAGTTTGTCTCCCAACAACAAAGAATATCAACAAAAATCGAAAAAGCTAGCAACAGAGTTTCAGTTTCAGTATGGGAAAATGTCCAAATGCCACCGGCTATTGTTGGTCCTGAATTTTGAGGGCAACCAATTCACCCTGTTGCAATTGGTTTCTCTGTCTTGAACTGTTAGGGAACCATCTTTGAAGCCTCTCTGGCCAAAACCTGGTACAGGATGCAAGCACTCATATCTTCCATTGAAAATAACAATTGCAAAAACAGCAACACAAAAAAATAAAGAGAAACTACCATAAAAAAATGGTTGGTATTTTTCTATTATATTTCCTTATAGATATCCAATGTTTTAGGACCCAGAGAAGATGCCACCATCATTTAAATATTTACAATTTTCCTGCAAATATGATCTCAGGTTTCATCATAGTTTATTCAAAAACCAAGAAAATATTGTCACCATGATTCCCAGCACTACAACACTGCTACACTTGTCTATGGACCAGGTTATAGTCTCGGCTAACCTTTTAACAAGACCGAATTTTATTTTCTAAAATAAAATTAAAATTAATTAAAAATATTTGTAATCAAATGATATTCGTGCTGCCCACTCTTGAAAAACAGTGACCAAGACCCAACCCAACAAGTAACTTGGTCTTTAGACATGTCTAGTTATTACTTCGAAAGTAGAAATGTTGCAGAGAATTGCACAAAATTTCAAATGTGATTAGTTTGATATGTTGAGTGGTCTAATGTTATATGTGGAAAAAGTCTGCTAGATCCGATTGAGGAAGTTATAATTTCTGAAGAAAATGTAAGAAATTCAGAATTTGCTACTTACAGTTCCAGTCTTTCATAAATTGCTCGCCTGACTGAAGCATTCAAGCCATAAGCTATTGAGTTGAAAAGGCCCTAAAATGAATAGACAACAATAGCAAAACCAGATTCTCAGAGAAGCTTAAAAATGAAACACAAACACTTATTCTTTATGCACCACTAAATTAATAGCACTTAATGGCCAAAAAGTAAAAATAATAATTGCGCTTCAGAAGATCAACAAGTTAGAGATGACAAATTTTGGTTTCCACTTCCAAACAACCCACAATAACCCATTGGGGCCTGGCTAGATATGGGAGTTACGGGGGATACCCGTTTCAGCCTCACCCTTCAAAGATTTTCATTATGGCTCTATCAATGTTACATGAATTACTTAAACAAAAAGAAAGATTGAGATATGGCATCATATCCATCAATAATAATTTAGACAACAAACCAAGGAAAAATTTTCACCCAAGATATTACTTGGAAACTTACCTCCACGGTGGAATCCAAACAATTCTTTCTAAATTGACCATACTCAAGTTTGCTCATAATAGGTAGTAGAAATAAAACTGGTTTTGCAAGTGAGATATAATTCCCATACTAACAAACATAATAACAGATACACACAAATATACATATTAATAGTTTCAGAAGCTATTACCATAAGTCCAGCAGTCCCAACATCAAGAAATGAGAGCCAAAAGAGATTGTGGCCTGGCTCAATAAAATTGTGGATGCGATTGATTGTGCCAAATGCCCATGATCCAATTAGGATTAGTGGATAGTAGCCCCACCGGTTCAGAGCCTATGGGAAAAGAAAATCAATGGAAAATAGACTTAATTTGACCAGGAAATCTAAAGAAAGTAGAGAAGGCAATAAAGAACCATGAAAGCATGAAACAACTAACTCCGACCCTATTTCAAACTAGGGCAGAAACCTGAACAGGTAGAGCTGTACTTACATAGCAGTCTGAAATGAAGACAGGTAATCATCAGATCCATAGAAACAAATGATGATTACACTGGATAATAATCAGGGTAGTGAACAACATAAATACATGAATGATGAGGCATTTGCATTCAAGCAGTCAAAGCAACAAAAAAGGAAAATCTATTTTATTTGTATGTTTCATATCTTTAACTTACCATATGCTCTTGTGATAAAAAAAAATCTATCATGTGCTTTGATGAAAGTAGAATTACCTTTGTGTCTGTCCTTGAATCAAACGGGTATGCTCGATCTGACATGCCAACTGCCATCTAAAATTTCCAAAGATACACATGACCTCGAAATTGCACAAGTGCATATCATATCAAATTTATGAAAAATAGATCAAAATAATAGCAAACATACACGAGTGGCATTGTTCAGCATGCGTATCACTTGAAAGTATGTAAAACCATTGTAAAGAATTGCACCCCATAGTGGAACGTAAAATGTTATAAAGTGAACTACCTGCATAGATATGCCAAATACGTTAGATAATTCTAGAATGCTAAGAAGGAAGACTACATTTATCATAGGATAAATAATTATTGGTCAGTTTTTTGTCTGTTATCTCATTGTTTCCATGCTCAATTAATATGCATAGAAGATAATAGAATACATGATTGTCTAGATAAAGCAACTCAAAAACTGCATTCAGAAAGATAAGGAAACAGGATAAGGAAACATTAAACCCTTATGAAAACCAAGAGCTTGAAGGAAAAGTTGAATCTTTTAACATAAAGATAAATCTAAGTGGGCAATCTGCCAGAGATTGCTAATTGTCACTTGCCTTTCCAGTGCGACTTGTTTGTCCCCAACACCATGCACCAAAATGTGTGTGATCATTGCCAATAGAACGTATGACAGTCATAACGAGCGAAGTTCCTGCAGGAAGTAATTGAAATTCCACATAAAAAGAGCTGGTTAACAGCATTAAGGGAGGGAGTGGACGAAGAAAATGAAGTGGCAAGTGTGAAACAGTAACACTGAAGTAGAAATAGAAACAGGAAAACATGAACAATACAAGATGGCTAAACAAATGTGGTAAGATGTTGAAGAAGAAATGAAAAGTTGTGATGGAAACAAATATATATTATCGTACCCCAAACATACAAGTGAAAGATTGCCTCCAAATCTTCAACATCGGTTTTGTGTCTAACAACAGTACGATGAAGAGTAAATGCAATAGTTGTTGTCCAGAGGAAGGAAGCAACACAGAAGAAATGCGTGGTGTAGCCCTGAGCATAACAAAAGAAACCTTTCGACGGATCTCTGCATAACGAAAACAGATTCATATTATACATACATAATTTCGTTTTAGTACATGGGCAAGCCCCAAATTCCCAGAAAACATTAGAACGGAACAGATACAATTGAAAATTGATCGCGTGGTGGAGATATAGCATACCCGACCATGTTAAAGAAACTGCAAAGCATGTCCTGCACCGACACGTAAAAGGAAATGAAGGGAAAAATGGGAAAAAAACATCAAATCAGATTTAGAGGTTTTAGAGAAATGCAGAGCAAATTAAAGTAAAACTGAAATAACAGAACAACTCAATTTTCCTTTCCCTAAATTCGTGCATTATACACATAAATTGAATCTTCAATCATCATCCACAAGTTTAACGAAAATTCCTAATTCTACACGTTATGGTTCTTGAACAATGAACAAAACAACTAGTTGCAAGTCATAACTATTTCAGTAATAATAATAAAAAAAATTCTTAAATTCGAGGAGGGAGGCATAAAAGAGAGAAATTACAGAGAGCGAAAGGTAGAAAACGAGCTTGAAGGAGAATTTGCGAAGTTCCTTGAAGAGGGAGTAGCAGAGCACGATGAAGCCGGATCCGACGAACGAAAGACTCGATGCTCCACTGTTCACAGCCGTCAATATTCGCCGATCGTGAACGGAGAGCACCGTCGCCATTTTTTCTGTTTCTTTTTCTTGTAACTAAATTCTAATTATGTTATCTTTTGGGCAACGGACTACCATAATTCCATCCAAAATTAAACAAACGTGCATTCTACAGTATAAGTATAACATCAACACTGTGAATTTGAGAATTTAGATGAACCGAAATCCGAAGACTAAACGCTTCGTTTCGAGCCTTTGACCCATTGTAAGGTTTTCTTTTTACATTTTTAGGGTAAACTTCGTATCTAGTCATCCACCTATTTCCACAGTTCCGTTTTAGTCATTCAAGTATTTTTTTTAAATCACACCTAACATCTTATTTCGGTTTCGTTTTGGTCATTCATCATTAAAAAATAAACAGAATTGATGACGTGATAATTTTTAAAATTTTATAATGATGATGTGATAATATCTTATGATGACACATCAATATCATCCTTAATTTTAAACAACGAGTTACCAAAATGGAATTAAAAACGTAACGTTAGGTATTATTTTGAAAGAAAAAAATAGTTAAGTGACTAAAAAGAAATCTCAGAAATAAGTGGGTGATTAAATATGTACTTTACCCTTCTATTGATCACTTTATTTATTTTTTACTAAATTAGCTTAGGTCCCTCTATTATGATACATTTTAAATTTAATCTTTATATTTTAATTTATATAACTCTATCGTGTTATTTTTATAATTATATTATTAATTATTTCAAATTGTTAACCACGTTAATTATTTCTTTAACACTGTATATGGAATAGCTCTTTTTAATTTGAGTCTATTCCCTAAGCTAAAACCTAAATCTTTGAACTTAATCATTCTTTTTTTAACCATTATATAAGTAGTATAACTATGCCTGAATAGATATAAGCTAAAATATAAATACTTTAATAAAAAAAATTAATACTGTATATGGAATAAATTAAATTGAGAGGATCAACTTATCTTGTCACAATACCATTACTCTTCTTCGAAAAATATATAATAAAATATGTCTAATAAGATGAAACTGTTCTAATTTTTAAATTTCAAGATTTCTCTATATTTTATATAGAATTAACCTCTTTAAAACGTAACATTAATATCAACTGTCACGATATTAAATATCTATATATCTATCTATGTGCCATTAAACAATGAAACTCAAGTCAAACACCTAAATCAATTTATAAAACATGTAATAATTTAAAGAGAAAATCGCCTCAGTGACCAAAAATGCCTTATAATATACGATTTTAACCAACTTTTTCCGGATTTGCCAAAATGACCAACAAAATCGCAATGCGATCGCTAATTCGCAACGCGATCTCCATTATCGCAAATTCGCGTTGCATTTCGCGTTGCGATAGTTGGAAATCGCGTTGCGATGGTCTACAGTGTCGTTGCGATTTTCCCAATTCGCAATGCGAATAAGTAAATCGCAACGCGAATTGGAAAAATCGCAATGCGATACTGACTATCGCAATGCGATACTTACTATCGCAATGCGATAATACAAAATCGCAACGAGATACTGACTTTCGCAACGCGATTTACATAGCGCCATTCGTATTAACGCGTATTTTTTTTTCAAATTCCAAACACGAATTTTTTCTTAATAAATCGGAAACTGAACCGTCCACAGTAATCGCAACTCATAACCTTAAACCCAAAATCACAACACTCAGTCCCATCTCCATCTCTCACTCTCTACGGCGAAATCCGTCCCCATCTCCGAAGATTTCAGTCCCCATCGCCGGCGAAATCCCTCACAACCATTCACAGTCAAAAATCCCTCACAATCATTCAGAAATGGAAAATAAACCTCCGAGGGTTAGTTTTTTTATTTTTATTTTGAAATTTTTGCATTATTTTAGGTTTTTCATATTGAGATTGATGATAAGTTTACTGGTAATTTCAATAATAGATTAACCATTTCACTTAGATTTCTTATTAAATTCATTCGATTGCTGCCAATACTGTTAAACTGTTTAGCCTGTGAAGTTAGTATTTGTCTTTGTTTTGTCTTTTGGTTGAAGTAATGCAGAAGAAGAATAGTTTCGAGAATGAAAATCGCAACGCGGAAATAACTATCGCAACGAGAGAATCGCAACTCGAAATAAAAAACGCAACGCGAAACAAAAATCGCATTGCGATTTTCATTTCGCGTTGCGATTTTCATTTCGCGTTGCGATTTTTATTTCGCGTTGCGATTTTCATTTCGCGTTGCGATTCTCTCGTCGCGATAGTCATTTCGCGTTGCGATTCTCTCGTTGCGATAGTCATTTCCGCGTTGCGATTCTCATTATCTCGTTGCGATTTTCATTTCAACCAAAAGACAAAACAGTGTTGCAAATTTTAGTTTCAAGAATAAACTACTATTTATGTTTATTGTTTTTGGTATATCTTGACAGTGTAGTTTTTGGTATATCTAACTTGGTATGTTTATTGTTTTTTTGTAGAAATTTTTTTCGGCTTCATTGACATTAAGGAATAAAGTTAGCCTAGCCACTACAATTGCTTCGAAGCTTTCACCTGCACAAAGAAAATTGTTTGAAGAAACCTGCTTCGGGCCATGGCTGAGAGTACAGCATCCGGGTGGAGATGCTAGTTTGACCCATTTGTGACTTCAGACCATGACTAGCGATCTACCCGACAATATACAACGTGGTGAGGAAGAGATATGGTTTCATTTTCCACCGGCGTATACTTGTTTTGGGCGGAAGGAGTTATGCTTAATCACTGGTCTACGATTCGGACACGATGATGTAGGCCGATACACTCGTCATATCACCCGCCCATCATGGTTATCCAGGGTTTTTCCTGATGAGTCAATAGAGAAGCCGAACTTACACGTCGACGACATGAAGAAATTGTTTAATAGAAAGATGGTTTACTCGGATAAATGACGTCGATGTTGTCCGAGTATGCCTTCTACTACTTTTGTATGCCGACTTTTTAGGCAGAGAGGCCAGACAACCTATTCCTCAAGAGCTAATATTATTGGTAGCGAACCTAAATGCATGGAATCTGTTTCCGTGGGGTTCATATATATGGAAAGCTACCTGGACTAAGTTGTCGTCTGCCTTTGATGACCGCAAAAGTTTGCGGGGCGATGGGTCGAAATACACTTTGTTTGGGCCTTTAAGGTTTTTTAATAATTTTTTCAAAATTATAATTAATTATTTAACATTACTAATGTTTGTTATATTGTTTGTAGATTTGGATATTCGAGGCCTTCTCGCCATGAAGACATATGCATAAAAACTTCAAATGATATTCCCAGGGCTATTTCCTGGAAGAGGAAACGTCTGTTGGATTGGGAAGACTTAATACCATATGCGACAATAAATAATGTAAGTTAACACAAATACTATCATATATAAACAAGTTTATAATAGTAGACGTTTAACTTTGTTTGAGTTTTTATATTTTTAAGGAGGCCAACATTCCATAATGAGACTGACCCCACGAAGGCTGAGCTTGCCACTGATTGGTGGCAAGCTAGTCAGCGTTTTCTTGATGGCACGAATGATGAGCAGCCTCCACTTCCTCCACTTCGAGAGCCATCACCTCACCCAGAGCCATCACCTGATCGACCCGACTATACACCTACAACGAGAGCCTCACCTATCCCGTCACATCATCGAGCCTCTTCTCCACCATCACCTCATGATAGGCGACTGGAAAAGATGCCACGACTTCTATCTCCCTATTCTCCACCTCCACGGGATGAGTCAAGGGAGTTACGTGATGAGGTCAATGCCTTGCGTGAGGAGATCGGTACTCTACTCGATAACGATGGTGCATGGGTGTGGGGTGTCTACTTTACGTGGTGAGGTTGCCGCTCTACGTGAGATGGTAGTATCGTTGCAGAATGAGGTTCATACTCTACGCAACGAGGCAAGTTTAAGATTTTCCATATTTAACTTGATGATAAATTTACTCGTAATTTCACTTAAATTAACCATTTCACTTAGATTGCTTAGTAAATTTATTCGGTTGCTGCCAAAACTGCTAAACTTTTTACTTTAACACTGTGAAGTTAGTATTTGTCTTTGTTTTGTCTTTTGGTTGAAAGTTTGAAATATATTTATCTTTGTTTTCACTGTTTAAATATCATGTCTGTTTATTTACTGATATTTGTATTTAATTATTTAGCGGACCGATAAGGTGGATGCTTTACGTCGGGTTTTTCTTGCACGACAGAGTTCACGTATCAGACGGCGTGCACGTGCTATTAAGTCTCTGTATACCCCAATAGTGCGAAGACACCGCAAGAAGAAGCCCGACTCGCCTGTCATCCCTCAAGAGTCCACTCCTATCGTTGAAGAGGCCCCTATCATTCCTCGAGAGTCCCCTCCCACCGTTCAAGAGGCCACTGTCATCGTTGAAGATGTCCCTTCCACCATTCAAGAGCCCGATTCACATGGCGTCATATGTAGGATTCTTGAGAAACCCTCTGACGTGCCGAACATGATGGATTCAAGTTGGCTCTCGTATGAGTTACCGGCCAGTACCATACCGGTATCTGAAGAGGAGAGGAAACAACTACTGGACACAATTCTGGATAACACCCTTTGGGCTAAGACCGCAGTTGATTTTTATCTACATGAGCGAAGCCAGGGGTGTTTCACTGACATATGCAAGCTCAATGATGATATCTATTTGTTGCTTGATCGGTCTTGGTGGGGCGTATTATTAGGGGTCGAAGACAATGGCTATTTCGATGGAGGGGTAATCTTATATTTTTCTTATATTTTAATTTGATTATTTTTGTAAATTTATGTAAGTTACTAATATATGTCTTTTTTTGTAAAACAACATATCGATGCTGGGTGTCACGTCTTCTAATAATTAGGAAACTTAAGGAAAATAAAAGAAATACACGATATACAATTATGCCAACGTCTTTTAACGCCGTTCACTTGAAGAATCAATGAGATGAATCATTTACTTTGGGCAATGAACAAGCTAAACTTATCCTGTATGGTGGGAGGTCGATAGGTTAGTGTTTATTTAGATTGAGTTTAAGGTATTCATAAATAAGTGCGCAATGAATAATATTACTTATGATTGCAGGTGTTTATCCCTGTTTTGGAACGTAACCATTGGCTTCGTCGAGCTTCA